TTTAGGTAGGTGTGGCTGACTCTTAACTTTTATAAAGAATATCTCTTTGGATTTGAGACTTTAGTCTTTGCAACTTTACAGATCTTCTTTATGCACCAAGAGCTTGTAACACTCCAAAGAGAAAGGAACACTTGAAATCGCATCATATGACCCCTTTAAAAATTATGCTTTACTTTACTAGTTACTTGAATAAAGTAATCTGATTGCGTAACTCGAGTTACTTGTAATGCGTTACCAACAACACTGCATGCAAATAGTTGCATGGTAATCATCTGGATATCATGGTTTTACCATCACTGTACTGCAGTGTGTTTTGTTTCCTCAGGTTACATGATGGAGTGTCGAGGAAAGATCTGCACAGTCCCTTTCTCTGAATCCTGTATTGTGCAGAAAGGGGGCCTGAATCGACTGACCTCCTCCCGGCGGGTCGTTAAGTCTGACAGCTCAGTAACGAGCAGCGGGCTGCGGCTTTAAGAGCCTGGAGCTGCTGCTGATAGACAGAGGGCCTGATCGCGGAGCTGCACCGTGAGGCCCGCAGGCGTGTTTTCTGACGTCTGGTCATGGAGCAGCGCTGTGAGCCTCTTCTGTCACACACTGACAGCTTGTTTTGCCTGACATCACGTCTATATTACCCACAATGCCTGTTCCAGTGCTGTCGTGCTCAGTAGCCCACAAGAACCCTTTCTCACGTGTCGTTTCTCCAGCAGATGTGTGCAGATTTAATCATACTCATCTTTAACATGATCAAGAACCAAAACCCCACAAAATGCACAAACAGCTGCTGCTTTGAACTCTGAGCCAGAGCCGCTGCTGACGGACGAGTGTGGAAATAAAGCAGATGGTAAACCAGAAACAAACACACAAACCCATTCACACTGCGGTTCAATACGGTGTCACTCCTCTTCTGTTCACACACACTTCACTTATTAACTTTTATTAAAGCTGTATGTGTAATTTATCTGTGTTATGTTTTTCCACAGTCCAGTTAAATACAGTGTAGTGAACGGAGTGATCTGAACTAGTTCATATAGTGTAGGGATGGAACGATTACCGGTTTGACGATAAATCATGATAAAAATTCCCCATGGTTAGTATTACCGTTTCATATTTTAACTATCATTAAAACCATATTCGATTACCGCGATTTGAACAACTCAGGATAAATAAAAACTATCCAGCATAAAGCAAAGATTTAAGTTCATTTTGTGTGAAAACATGGCAGAAAGCTGGGAGGTTTTAAAGGAGTGCTAAGAGAATTATACAAATAAATATATGAATGAATTAATATTGTGAGTAATATTCTTAAGGTTCTGACTGTCTTCAGAAAAGATTCGATGGCATTTTGTTTTCATCTTCGCTCCATGTAATCCCTAATAAAGTAGTGTTTTAATCGCAATGCTGCTTTGTGCAGGAGGTTACGAGAAACAGCTGTAATTCTGCTGCTCCTTCAGCGCCACCTGCTGTCAGAGAGTGGATTTACAGAGACTCACATTCACATTCAGTCTGTGTGCTGTTTCTGTCTGGACTAAAAACAGACCAAATCTGCATGCCCTGCTGTAAACTTTGACCTGTTGATGAAAAACAAGCTTATGTGGATTCTACACATTTAAACAATTCAGATAAGTTATCTAGAATTATTTATGGAGCAGATAAAATACATATAATCATTTATTATCATTTTGACTTAAGCCTTTTCTTTGTTTAAAGGCTGAAATGTGAGATTTACCATTTTATAAAACCTTTTCAAAGTTTTATTTGAACATTTCGTACATGTAATTAGATAAACTGTTGTCAGTCAAGTTGTCATTTAAAATCCAGACATCATTGGTACTGTTATTTTTTTAGTGTTTATGCAAACAAAAAGTCATTTTATTTGTTGTTTGTTGATTTTAAATATAAAACTTGGTGAAACAATTTATGCATCAGTACTTTTTGAACATCTCCAGCGCATTTTAACAATAACGTGGTAATTCTGATCTGTGATAATTTTGGTCACTAATCATGATAAGAAATGTTCATACTGTAGCATCTGTAATATAGTGCTGTCTCCTCTGAAGTCCCACAGCGAGAGAGGCGTCTCAGCTCACAAGTGTTCATCAGAGAAACACAGATCTCCATCAGAGTCTGTCTCTGGACATTCACTAATAATCCACAGACTGTAATACCTCTCTATTTCTGAATATTTCTAAATCTCTGAGTGTGTATGTGAGACTGTGAAGATGAAACCGTGTGTAGTTCATAATTCTTGAATTATTGCACAATTCATTCTTTTTTAATTTTGATTAGCTGACTAGTTACTCAATTCATAATGGGAATTTTAATCATAATAGGAATTTTAATTGAATTTATTTTGTTTAATAAAAACATATGCTGGACAAAACATTACAGAACTAGATGTCATGCAGCGTTAAATCCACACCATTTGTTTAAGTGATTTTGAATGAAATTGTTGAACTGAATGATTAATGCAAATACGGCATGAAGGCTGCATCTGAACCATGAAAATGTCATTAACGCACTTTCTAATCCAGCACAGATGTAAAAATCAACATCTTTATCACACTTATGTATTTGTTTACACAGAAGCCTATATGGCATACAGTACAAAGATTCAGATATAAATCAAACTCTTGAGTTCTTCAGGCAAACCGACTGGAATCACAGATTACTTTCTATTTTAAAAAGACTTCATTAATTGTCTGCGTAAGGTAATGACTGAACCCGTCTGTTTCTGAGCTGAGATGAGCTCATCGTTTCAAAGGTCAAACTCATTCAGGGAGCAGAAGAGAGCACAGATGTGCGTTTGAAACCCGTACGCTACAAAGAGTGTGTTCATGAGCGGCCCGGTCGATACGGAGCCCAGCGGGGCTACGCTTTCATCTGCCCCGGGCCAGTCGCACACGAGACACCACAACCAGCCCACAGACATTTAAAACAGCTTTATTGAGGCACATACAACGACGTCTGAGAGCAGAAAACAGCCCCGCGTGGCCGAGCCGCTGGGGTCAGAGGTCAGAGGTGCTCAGAGAGGAAGCTGTAAAGTGTTTCCTGAGGTTTGCTTCTTGTAGTTTTCTTACACACACACTCATAATACTGCAGCAACAGCCTGAACACGGATCCTACAAGAAACAACAGAGAAACATGAACATACTGCACAAACAACATGTGATTCCAGAAGAGTGTGTGTGTGTGTGTGTGTGTGTGTGTGTGTGTGTGTATATAACACACACACAGACACACTCACACACACACAGACACACTCACACGTTAAAACAACAAAGCACAATCGTATATCATCACAAACACTCTTCATCACTCTCTTTCTGTTCTCAGTCTGAGGAATAGGAGCAGTGTGTGTGAAGGCGTTTTACTTTCAATGAGTGAGACAAAGTTCGTTTGTTTGGCATTTGGGGTTTAGTGATGTTCACATGATAACTTTTTATTTCAGGTTTTTGAGATCTCGTGGCACCTTTGAGACTCTTGTCTCCACCGACGGCTCCGCAGTCCCAGTTCCCCGTCACGATGGCCGACAGATTCTGCGTCTGGACTCCTGGACGAACAAACCCGCAGAGGGCCTGACGGGACGCACAGAGGCGCATCAGTGAGCAGACAACACTAACTAACCCGTCACTAACCTAACCAGCCCTCACACTAACACTGATCTATGAGTGAGCGACCCTCAACATCTTCACTGCATTCATAAGGAACTGTATTATTATTATTATTATTATTACTGTCCCTCATGCATCAGTGATATTGAGTGTCTGCAGCAGATTCGTTCACAGCTCTGCAGTCCACAATCATTCATGAATGCTTCAGTCTGTTCGTACACAACAATACAGATATGGAGTTGTCATTCATTAGGTTTGAAATTAAACACCAATTAAAGTTTCCAGTAAAGTGAGTGATGCATTGCTGATCAAAGCGTCACATCAAAGAGCAGAAACAGATGCCCTCCTGCTCATCCGCTCGCATTAATAATGCACAACCCCACCACAGCAACTGAACCGGACCGGACCCGAGTCACAGCATTACAGGAGGTTTGCTCAGGCCTGTTCAGTGGTTTCATCTCTGATTGTTCAGATGAAGTGCAGAGGCTTATGGTGACGTGTCAGTGACCTCTGCTCATGTGTTCAGGGTGAATCTGCTCCAGGAATCGTCTGTAATGCAGGGCGTGTATCGCCACGATCTCAGCTCAGCTCGCTGCCACTCGTCCCTGCAGACACAAACACAGCACCAGCGGCTCTGAGAATGTATTTTGCTAATTTTTTTCACCATTGCATGAATTAAATATCCAAAATGTGCTTTTTACGATTTTGTCTTGCTTTTCGCAGAAAAAATCAATTACAAAACAACATTTTAAAAATACTTTTTTAAAACTGAACATTTTTTATCATTCTAACAGACATTGTACCAACAAAGCACAACTTAACTTAAAATTAATAAGTTAGTGAAATAAAAATATTTTTATTGGCCATTTTTGAGACCCCCTTCTTGAATCAGGTATGGGATTGGCTAAAGACAAAAAATGAAAACTGAACACTTTGAGCAGAATTATATAATTATATAAAATATTATTACTTACCTACAAGCTCCTGCGTACCTAACTAGTCTTCTACCACGCTACAATCCATCACGCTCCCTAAGGTCGCAAAACTCTGGACTTTTGGTAGTACCTAGGATAGCAAAGTCCACTAAAGGAGGTAGAGCTTTTTCACATTTGGCTCCCTAACTCTGGAATAGCCTTCCTGATAACGTTCGGGGTTCAGACACACTCTCTCTGTTTAAATCTACATTAAAGACACATCTCTTTGGCCAAGCATTCAAATAATGAATCTCATAATCTTGTACTGCAGTTATATCTGTTTAAATTTGCATTATTATTCCTTAGCTTGGGTTGAACAAATAATTTTTGATCGGCTGGAACAGCAGCTACGCTAATTATGTCCCTATTTGTTTCTCTGTTTTTGCCACAGGATTGACATCCCGTGGTAACTAGGATTTACACAAGCTTCAGTCTGGATCCAGAACACCTGAGAAGAGATGATGCCAACCCCTCAGAGGACCTCAGATGATGCCAACCCTGAAACAACATAAACTACCACATTTTGCTATAAGTTTGATTGCATCATATAATAATTGCTGTTAATAGTGTTCATCGTCTGTTTGATTACATCTTTAATTGATTACGTCTTTAATTGATTTGTCCGTACATTTCTGCCATATGTACATGAACTGACAGTCACCACTGATAAGCTACCACTAAATATTGTAGAAACTTAATTTGCTGTAAAGTTGCTTTGCAATGATTTGTATCGTGAAAAGCGCTGTACAAATAAACTTGAAATTGAAATTGAAATTATTTGAAGGGCATTTGGGCTCATGAAAGCCACTGATGAAATCTTTCCTTCGCACTCTCTATTTCCTGTCTGCACGTCTACCAAAAAAGAAAAAAAAATCCTCTTCTCATCTGTCAATGCCTTCTCTCTCTAACCCAAAAGCAGTGTGAACATAGAGGAGAAACTGTATTTTTCTGTCATGATTACTGCATTAATTATTGCTAGTTCATGTCATTAACTAATAATTCTGCCTTTGTTAGGGCCAAATACTATTAGTGATATTTTGTCTCAGAATTTGGTTGAAGTTTGTGATTTCACAGCCATTTGATATATATTTGAAAGACACTGATACTTTTTTTTAGCAAGGACACAATAAAACGAAAGTGACAACAAAGACATTTATATTGTTACAAACAATTTTTGTTTCGAATAAATGCCGTTCTTTTGAACTTTCTATTCATCAATGAATCCTGAAAAAAAAAGGTTTCTCCAAAAATATTACGCAGCACAACTGTTTAAAAAAATTACCAGTTTTAAAATGTTTTAAAGCAGAAATACACAATATTACTGTTTTTGTATTTTTTACTGTACAAATAAATGCCTTGCTGAGCAGAAGAGACTTCTTTTGAAACATTAGAAAATATTACAGATTTGAACACTATGTGTGAATGTTATAATAAATGTATTAATAGAGCTGTTGTAATTATTATTATCATCATCATCATCATCATCATCGTCTTATTTTTTATTGTATTTTACATAACAACAATAAAATTACAATAATAACACATTTATGAATGTTTATGGAGCTTTTATTTTGGCAGAAACTCGCAGAAAGACCTCACTGCTTCTTTTTGTTGACAACAGCAGATTCTTTACGAATTTAGGAAGATGTTTGTCACATGTATCACATTGTCACATGCCTTGTAAAAACTGATAAAAATGTTACGGAGCAACTGACGAGTAACACTGTTTCAGCGCAGATTTTGAACCCTGGCTAACGAGCTCGTCATTGCTGTCAGAATACTGTATTAGAAAACATAACGTTCTGCAGTTTATTTACTAATTGTTTAAGGCCATTCGTGATTTCAGTCATCATACAGTAACCAGCAACAGCCACCTCTTCCTCTGCTCATCGATGCAGCGCTAAACAGTCTCTCGCCGTCGGTGCTAGTAATGACTTTTGCATCTTTCTCGGACAGTTTAAATGCTTCCACACTGTGTTATAAAGAGTGCGCCTCTCACTCTACACTGATTTATTTGATCGCATCACCAAAAATGTCATTGTTCAGTACAATTTATTCGGTCTATTCACCTTTTCAGCCGAACTCCAAAAGTGTTTTTTTTTGCCATTTCTGGCTGAATACTTTCGGTTGCCAAACATTTGGTGCATCCCTATCTTTTTCAGTATTGTTTTGTCCTGAAGAATGAGGACGGGGCGAGTGTTCAGGAAACCTGTTTAAAGACAGACATTGTGAAGCACAGAGCGTTTGGAGCGCCAGACTCCTCTGAAACACTGGTCTCAGGATCATCATGCAGCTCCGCCGATCATCAGATCCAGCCTCACGTCATCCGCAGGACAGCCGAGGCCACCGAGACTCCAGCAAATCCAATAAGAGAATCCCGGCAGCGCAGCGGCCTTCCAGCCATCGATCCGGCGTAAAAAGAGCAGCTCCTCCGAAGATAAGCTCATTGTCTTTATTGGAAAGGAAATGAGATAAACGCATTCCTGCTGGGAAGAATTCCTCCTCAGGTGACCTTCAGGAGAAGCTGGAGAGAGTCTGTCCTTTGTCTGTATTTCTGAAGTGTCTTCGGTAAACGACGCTGGAGTCTCTGACAGACTGAAGAAAACAGCGCAAAGGTCACCGGACGCATCTGAGGCTAAAACCAGCGCAGAATATTATCATCTCAAGCTTAATGTCAGGCCTTTGTCTCAAACAGCGGCATTTATTCAGGTACACCTGTGACTGAAGTGGTTCAGATCAGATTCTGGAGGGCTGTGTGAGCGGAGTTACTCTACAGCTGCTAACTAAAGCAGCGCTTCTCCTTCACACAGAAACACATGCGTTAGCTGGACCTAAAGCAGTAATGTTTCAGTGAGGGACACACCTGCCATTGGCCTTCGGTTTCCCGGCTGGAGATTCGTATCGGGACTCACTCGCATCTCCATATCTGCTCTAATGCTGCCCTGACAGCGGACAGACGCTCCGCAATCAACCGCAATTCAATTAGCCCAGGCCACTTTGGCAAATTTCAGTACAGCTACAAGAAGATCCATTTTAGCCGAGCGGGAGCATGATTTAGAGAGAGAGAGAGATAGGGACGAAACGCAGGGCTGGGACGGTTTAATAAAGGAGAGTCGTGGCCCCGTGCATTAGCGGAGCGACTCCTGCCGGCTCGCACAGCCCTAATTAATTCTGCTGGACAGTAATAAAGTTAAGAGCGTAAGTGGCGGGGCCTGAAGGTGACCCAATGGAGACGAGAATACTGATGAGACGAGGTGTGCAGCAAACACTCGCTTCTTTGAAGGAAGAGCAGGAGTTTGAGGAGTTTATCAGTGAAACTCAACACGTCTGAATCTGAATAACAGCACAGACATCTGAGACCACAGAGACACGCAAAAAACAGCTTATAAACTGCATACTTCTGTGACGCATGTATCTGGACTGTGTTTCTGAGTGTGTGTGACTTATTTCGACTATATTTTTAAATCATACAAAATGAAGTTTTTTTTTTAATGAAAATCTAAAAATGCACAAAGTTTCCTGTAAGGGTTAGGGTTGGTGTAGGGCGATAGCACATACAGTTTGTACAGTATAAAAACCTTTACGCCTATGGAGAGTCCCCATAAAACATTGAAACACAACGTGTGCGTGTGCGTGTGAGCGTGTGCGTGTGCGTGTGAGTGTGTGTGAGTGTGTGTGTGGGTGTGTGTGTGAGTGAGTGAGTGTGTAGGTGTGTGTGTGAG